ACTGATTGTTTCCATTAATTTTGGTTCTCTTCTTTCTTCTTGATGAGGAGAGACCCATTGTTGCATCTAGATGGCAGCTTCCTAGCTTTTAAGGTCCCAGTCGCTACTCGCCTGCTTTGAGTCTTTTGAGGGAGTGGTGGAGAGAGACTGCTGATTGATGTTGCTTTTCTTCGCTGAGGCCCTTAGCCAGGCCAGTGCCCTTCTGTGATCTCAACTCAGCAAATAACCACTTGGCATTCTCAGCAATTGTGTGCTTCCCTGTGACCTACTTTGTGTGTTCTTGGTGAGAGGCTCCTGATTTCTTAGCAAGTGCTGCAGACCCTCATTCTGCCTTGGAAAGAAGGCAGCAGGGCCAGTAGACACTTCTCTAGGTTCGAGGTCAGTTCTGCCCTGGCTGGCCCTCCATGTAGTTATTTGACCTACCAGGTTTGGGATGACTGTGTTATATATGTCTCTGTGTGTGGTATAAGGCAGTGTCTGTATTCAGGCCGACAGTCTAAGGGAGGGACAGAGTAGAGGGGTTCCACTCACGTCTCCCCACAGCCTGATTAGACCTACTGTGGTTCCATGTTAGTCTAGAGCCAACCATCTGGGTCAATAGGTTTAGAATTTTTCTCAACATCTCTGAGCTATCAAAATTCTCTATCCTCTTTCTAGAACATACAATAGAGGAAGCAGCAAAAGTGGATTCCTTTCCCTTTGAAATTTCCTCTGAAAAAAAAATCACCATAGTGCTATTTAGTGAGTCATTTCATAATTAAGAGTTGTTGATTCCAATTTTTTTTTACCTATTTATCTTTTGAAGGATAATAGTACCCTTTGGCTTAATTTTTAATTTGCTTTCAGTTCAAAATAGAGTTTGTGAAGAAATTAGGGAATTGGAATTGTTACAATAACATTGCCAGTTTCGTTTCTTATTGTAATTGCCAAGTTTCCAGTCATGCCCTTGAGAAATCAGGCCTCCCTAAGGAAAAGGCCTGGCACCTGTGATATGTGGGGCTGGGCTCATGCCACGCAGGGGTGAGGGCATCTGGGCGAGAGGCCAGGAGCTCCCTACACTCCAGACCTGCCTCTGGGCTGCCTCTGGAATCTGGGATCTGGGATCTCAGGGAGCCCTGTCTCCTCCCCTGTGCGATGGGGGCAGTAATAAACCCCTCTTAGGTTTCAGCGAGAGCCAGGTAAAATGATGTACTCAGATGCTTATGCAAGGTCCAATACACAGTGAGACCTTGAGCCAGGAAATTGGAATCAGAGTGTCCTGTAAGAAAGTCTCTGTGGAAGAGGAAGCATCCCCACCAGCTCCTGACTGTGGTGAATGTGAGGTTACAACCTTATGAGGGACCTCACAGGGATCTGGTGCTGGAACATGAGGAAAGCACAGCCCAGCCACAAAGGAGCACAGTTGGAACACCAGGAAGGATTCCTCCTATAGGAGTCAGAAGCTCAGAAAGGAGGAGATTAGGCATGTCTGCGGGACAGGGAGGGGAAGGGTCACAGAGTCTAGAGAGGAGCAGCAGCATCATGATGGACCTGCCCGTGGTCCAAATCTGGCAGTGGAGCTGGGGGATGTAGGGTCAGGCAGCTGGCCATAGGGTGTTGGTTAGGATGGTGCCACTGTAACCAGATGACACATAGGCCAACTCCACAAATTAAGAGCTACTGTGGGATGTGAGTTCATTCAGACAATGGCAGACAGTGCAAGGAAGATGCCCCACATCTCCTATAGCTCTGCTCACTTCCCTGGCCCATGGGGCACACTGGTGAGGGCAACAGGTCTCACCTCTCTGTGGAATGCCCCACTAATGTTCTCAATTCACTCATTCCCCTCCTTCATCATAGATAATGACACATTGCACCCACCTGGCTCCATCAGAGAGCAAGCACACCTACACCTCTCATATACTTTTAGGTAATGATTTCCCTTGGGGGAGTCATATTTTCCTGCCCCCAGAATGGAACTGGACAAAGGGAGGTGCAGCTGAAGTGGTCATCTGAGCCTCCCTGTTTTCTATTCCCAGGTACTATATCATCCCCTGCCAGTAGCTGACGGGAGCAAGCAAAGGGCAATCAGGCAGGTCTAGGGCTGGCTTGGCTGAGTGAACAAGAGTATGAGAGAGAATGTGCCAGTGAGTGAATGAATGAGAGAATCAACACTAAAGTGAGCAGATAAATGAATGAATGAACAAGTGAGTGGAAGACCAAGGGAATGAATGAGCAGGCCTTTGTTCCAGCCCCTCCAATATCACTCAACCATTAAAAGGAATGAAGTGTTGATACATGCCCCAGCATGGATGAACTGTGAAAACATTATGCTAAATGATTCCACTTATATGAAATGTCCAGATGAGGCAAAGCCATGGATTATTAAGTATTAAGTATTTTTATTATTAAGTAGATTATTGGTTGCCAGGGGCTGTGGTTGGGAATGGGGAGTAACTGCTAACAGTTACGAAGTTTCTCTCTGGGGTAATAAAAATGTTCTGGAATTGCATAGTAGTTATGGCTGCACAACCTTGTAAATATACTGAAAACTACTGAATTATACATTTTAAAAGAGTGAATTTTATGGGTATGTGAATTATATCTCAATGTTTTAAAAAGTCGAGATTAAATATATCTCACCACTAGAGGGGAGACCAGAAGTAGAGGTGCAGCAGGCAGGGCTCTCAGCCGAGGAGACCTTGGTGGGAAGAGAAGGCTGCCCAGACCCACCTTACAGGATGGGCCACAGCTTCCTGAAGGATGAATGGTGGTACTCAGGACACAATGTAAGGAGAGGAGTGTGTGTGGTGTGTGTGGGGGGGTTGCCAGCAGCCCACCAAACAGCACACACCAGGGCAGGTACCATGTAACCACATCCCCAGCCCTCTGCAGAGGACTGAGGAAGGGCCTCCAGCAGCCAGATCAGATGTTTATTTTTAGCTCCTACCTCACATGCCTCCTCCTGCCTTCCCTCCCTTCTTCGCTGCCTACTAGAGCTGAGCCAGGAGCAAGAGGGCCAACCAGCAGTTCCTTCAGCAGGCTGGCTGCCCCTTTGAGCAAACGTGTGAAGGGGTGCAGTCGTGGGGAGCTTGTGATCACAGGTGACATGCTTTTCTGAAGGCTGGGCCTCTGGGCTCAAGCGAGCAGCCTGATGCAGAGGCTGGCTCTGAGTACTTGGCATTAGGTCGGCCTCCTCTATCCAGACCTCTTTCAACTCCATCCCCTTCCACGGTGCTCTTGCCTCATTTGGACTCTTGCTTCTGAAGTGGCATCTGCATGCCAATGGCGGGGATCAAGGGTTTGTCAAGTCACCAAGGTAGACTGGGGCAGATGACTAGTCCCCTCGAGAGGTCTAACCTAGGGTGGCAATACGGAGTGCCCTGAGGTTGAGTCAGAGCAGTGTTCCTTGAGCCAGCCTCTTGCCTGAGCCCAGATCCTAATGCCGTCCTGCTGATCCTGGGGCTGGGGAAGGGACTGTTTGCTTATCTTCAGAACTCTCTCTTAGCTTCTGATGATACAGACAGAAGTTAGCACTTATGTGGGGCACACACATAGCATCAAATAAGCTCCCTTGGATTTAGGAGTGGTACTAGGGCTGGGCCCTGCAGGAAACAAGGTGGATACATGCAGGGCCTCTGAAGGATCACCCCCCCCCCCAATGCACACACACACAGAGCTGGGCCCCACTGCCCCATCCCTCTGCCCTGAAGCTGAGTGTGGGGCTAGGGCTTGCAGAGCAGGAGCTCCAGTATCAGGGATGCAATCTCAAGACCCTGAATAACAAGCCCATGGATCAGTCCTGTCCCCCAACACCCACCAAGGCCTTGCCACCTGCCCAGTCCAACTTCTGCTGGGGCCTAGGGCAGAGATGTGGCATGTAGATCTCTAGGCAGGAAACCAGGGCAGAATCATTGACTTGGCACCTGCTATGGTGGCCTGAGGAAGCCAGACTGAGGGCAGTTCACTTTGGGGGTTGCCAGGCTTCCAAAGCTTTGTCAGGTGAGGTAGGACCTGATTTGGGCCCTAGTCAGTGTGTGAGTTTAGGGTGCTGAGTGTTGATTGACCTGGGACTAGTGAGAGCAGAGGGCTACTTCCTCTCCCTCTGCCCTGATTCTGTGACCCATCCTGTGGTGCCATGGTTCCCATAATGGCCCATCCTAGTGGCAGAGCTGCTGGTGGAAGCCTGAGTGTCTAGGCATCCAGAACGAGCATCAGCAGAAACGTGCTCCTGGGAGACATGCCCCTGCCAACCTCAGACCTGCTCCAGGTATCAACTACTCAGGAGGCTGGGATTCCTGGACCTGTACTCTCACACAGGCAGCTGGGGCTGGGAAATTCACTACTGATATCTATGTCACGCTTGTAATGACCTGTTTGGGGCTGTGGGCTCCCGGACACATGTTGACCCCTGTCTGTCTTAGTCATGGCTTGATCCAGCCCCTGGATCTGGGCCTGACACAGAGTGGGTAGCCTTGAGAGTAGAGGACTGACTGTTAAGGATTTGATCTCAGGCTGGCTGGAGACAGCAGGGCCCCTGGCCCAAGGACCAGCACATACAGTCCCCATCAGAGGAACAGCCCAAGAACCCCTATGGGACTAGGAGGAGACTTCTACTTGAGGGTCGTTGCTGACCTTAGAAGTGACTTGGGCTGAGGGTTGTGAGGAGGGGAGGCTGCTCAGCCCTAGGTAGGGCTTCTTCCAGGCAGCCACCCTAGTCCCAGGAATCTGCACCCTGCTCAGCACCGCCTTTACTTTGGGGAAGGGTATGAAAAAGGCAGGTGTCTACTGCCTGAGAGCTAGGAGAAAGGGGAAAGTCATTGTATCCAGGAGGTTCTTCACATCTGAACCCTGTTCCTGGTCTGCAAGACTCTTAACTGCTGGACTCCTATCTAGCCCTCAAGGGGCTGTTTGCTTTCTTGGTGTTGTAGATTGAAATGTGTCTCCCCAAAATATGTGTTATAAATCCTAACCCCTGTACTTGTGCTTATAATCCCTCTTGGAAACACTTTTTGGTTGTATTAATGACACAGCATTAGGGTAGGGTGTACCTTAAGTCAATCTCTTTTGAGACATACAAAGAACAGATTGGGCAAGCAAGCAAGCAGAGATGGGCAGGGACAGATGCCACACCACATGACAGTCACCAAGGAACCAAGAAACAGAAGCTGAGAAGAGACAGAAACCTTCTCCCAGAGCCCTCAGAGAAAGAAAATGACCCATTTGTGGTATTTCTGTTACAGCAGCACCAGATAATGGAGACCCCAAGGAGGGGTCACTATGAGTCGGATCCGACTCGATGGCCTTGAGTTTTGTTTTTTTTTAAGATGGGTTGGGCCCCTAGCACCCTCTTTTCTCCAGACCCTGTGGTGCTTGTAGATCCCCTGTGCACACACACACAGTTCTTCTTTTTTGTCCCTGGGGTGAAAGGTTCTCTATCCGTTAAGGAAAGGACCCTTCTTTTTAGTTTGTTATTTGCATTTTAATTTTGTATGCAGTGCATCTTAGATGTGGAGAAGTTTATCAGTTGAGGGCAATGCATCAGTCTTTTTCTCCTTGTGCCTCTGGTGCCATGCTTTGAAAGGCTTTCTCCTCTCCAAGGTTATAGAAATAGTTGTTGTCTTAGTTTTCTGGTGTTGCTATAACAGAAATACCACAAGGGCTTTAACAAACAGAAATTTATTTTCTCACAGTTTAGGAGGCTAGAAGTCTGAATTCAGGGTGCTGGCTCTCTATTGGCTCTGGAGGAAAGTCCTCGCCCCTTTTCAACATCTGATCCTCAGTTTCATCCTCTTGTCCATTTGTGCTTGCTTGCTTCTTTGCCTGACTTGCTCTTTTAGACAGTAAAACCCGTGAAAGCCAAAAGCTATATAAGGTGAAAACCTGTCAGAGAAGGAAAACTAAAACATTTTCCATCAATAGTGATAGAGAAGTGGTTAGACTGCACCCTATCAAAGGCTGAAAACTTGTGAGACCTGGAAAAACGAGGTTGTCCCATCAAGTTCCAACTCCCACAGGTTTTATGTATCTCAAGAAGTGATTGGTTTAACACACACCTTACACTTACATGATCTCATTAAACATAACAAAGAAAACCCTATTCCCAAATGGAATTACATCCACAGGTATAGGGGTGAGGATTTACAACACATAATTCTGGGGATATAATTCAATCCATCACAATCAATGTTAATTTTCTCATGTACTTTGTGATTTTCACTAGCCCCCTCTCGTTTCCTTGCAGAAAACTGAGTGGCTCTGTTTGAACTGCCAAACTAAGCGGTTGCTGGAGGGCAGCCTGGGAGAGCCGACCCCACTACCAGTGCCCACCTCACAGCAGCCCCCTGTAGGGGCCTCTCACCGTGCAACTGGAACAGCCCCTCTGAAGCATAAAGGGCCACCAGGGCCTGTTCAGGCATCAGGCCCTCTGCCCACCAAGGCCAGCCCCCTGCCTGCCAAGGCCAGCCCCCAAACCAAGCCCCTCAAGGTTTCTGAGCCTAGCAAAACCCCCAGCAGTGCCCAGGAGAAGAAGACAGGAGTCCCAGCTAAAGCTGAACCTGTGCCGAAGCCACCTCCAGAGACTACCCCGCCCCCTGGGACTCCTAAAGCAAAGAGGACTGAGCCTGCCACCCCTGTCAGCAAGGCTGTCCCAGAAGCCCCCAAGGGTGGGGAGACAGAGGTCAGTCCCATTCACATCCCAGGGACTCTAGCTCTCAGATGGGACAGTCTAGGGAAGGGCTTCCCTCTCCTGGGGACTGAGGATGAAGGCCTGAGGCAGTCCCCTTGGTGCCACAGGGGGAGGGTGGGGATGCCTCAGCAGAAGAAAAGCCTGGGTGAGCCTCTGGTGGGCTGGGAGCCTGTGAGTTGCAGCCTGGCTCTGAGTCTAGTATTTTGTTGGATACTTTGCTGAATCTTGCTACCATTAGAGCTAGTAAAGTTCCTCTTTGAGAACTTAGGGTTGCTAGGGGCTTGCCATGGAGCCTGTTAAGTTATTCAAGTGTGGAAAGGTGGGATGGGTGGTGGGCCCTGAACCCCTGGGAGGTGAAGGGACCCTTCCCTAGGGCCCTGGGATTGATGAAGAGGATTGGGGTCCCCATGAGCTTTCTGACATGGAGAGTCAGTGCCTGCTTCTCTCCCTGCTGTAGGAGCTGGTGGGCAAGCCTTACTCCCAGGACCTGTCACGGAGTCCACAGAGCCTCAGTGACACAGGCTATTCCTCTGATGGCATCTCCAGCTCCCAGAGTGAGATCACAGGGGTCGTACAGCAGGAAGTGGAGCAGCTAGACAGTGCAGGGGTGACGGGGCCACGTCCGCCCAGCCCCTCAGAGCTCCACAAGGTGGGGAGCAGCATGCGGCCAATACTGGAGGCCCAGGGCCTGGCCCCCAGTGGCGAGAAGGTCAAGCCACCCAGCAGCAGCAGGCGCGAGGAGCAGAAGCGGCGGCCGCACTCCTTATCCATCATGCCTGAGGCCTTTGACTCTGATGAGGAGCTGGAGGATATCCTGGAGGAAGAGGAGGACTCTCTTGAGTGGGGGCACCGGAGGGAACAGCGGGACATGGCTGAGTCCTCGGACGATTTTGGCAGCCAGCTGCGGCATGACTATGTGGAGGACAGCAGTGAGGGTGGCCTGTCCCCACTGCCACCCCAGGCCCCAGCCCAGGCGGCAGTGCTGACTGATGAGGAGTTCATGCGACGGCAGATCCTGGAGATGAGTGCTGAGGAAGACAACCTGGAGGAGGAGGATGCTGTCACCTCTGGGCATGGCCTGGCCAAACATAGCACCCAGAAGAGTGGCAGATCCAGAGCTGAGCCCAGCCAAGAGCCAGTAGCACTGCCCAAGAGGCGTCTGCCTCACAATGCCACCACGGGCTATGAGGAGCTGCTTTCTGAGGGCGGCTCAACTGATGCCACTGATGGCAGTGGGGCCTTGCAGGGAGGGCTCCGCCGCTTCAAGACCATTGAGCTCAACAGCACGGGCAGCTACAGCCACGAGCTGGACCTGAGCCAGGGTCCTGACCCTGGCCTGGACCGGGAGCCTGAGCTGGAGATGGAGAGCCTGACAGGTTCGCCTGAGGACCGCTCCCGTGGGGAACAGTCCTCAACACTGCCTGCCTCCACGCCCAGCTACACGTCAGGCACCTCTCCCACCTCCCTGTCCTCACTAGAGGAGGACAGCGACAGCAGCCCCAGCCGTCGGCAGCGGTTGGAAGAAGCGAAGCAGCAGCGCAAGGCCCGGCACCGCTCCCATGGGCCCCTGCTGCCCACCATCGAGGATTCTTCTGAGGAGGAAGAGCTGCGCGAGGAGGAGGAGCTGCTGCGCGAGCAGGAGAAGATGCGGGAGGTGGAGCAGCAGCGCATCCGAAGCACAGCCCGCAAGACCAGGCGGGACAAGGAAGAGTTGCGGGCCCAGCGACGACGTGAACGCTCCAAGACACCGCCCAGCAACCTGTCACCCATCGAAGATGCCTCCCCAACAGAGGAACTGAGACAGGCGGCAGAGATGGAGGAGCTACACCGCTCCTCCTGCTCAGAGTACTCACCCTCACCCTCCCTCGACTCAGAGGCTGAGGCCCTGGACGGTGGCCCTTCTCGGCTCTACAAGTCCGGCAGTGAGTACAACCTGCCCACCTTCATGTCCCTCTATTCACCAACTGAGATGCCCTCAGGTGGCTCCACCACTCCCAGTTCTGGCCGGCCCCTCAAGAGCGCTGAAGAGGCCTATGAGGAGATGATGCGAAAGGCAGAGCTGCTCCAGCGGCAACAGGGCCAGGTGACAGGAGCCCGGGGGCCCCATGGTGGTCCTTCTCAGCCCACAGGCCCCCGGGGCCAGGGCACCTTTGAATACCAGGACGCCTCGGACCATGACTATGGTAGGGCTGCTCAGCCTGCCTTGGGGGCTGCGTCAGCCAGCTTGGGGTCGGCCGTGTATGAGGAGATCCTGCAGACATCACAGAGCATTGCCCGGATGCGGCAGGCCTCCTCGCACGACCTGACCTTCACTGAGGACAAGAAGAAGGAAAAGCAGTTTCTGAATGCTGAGAGTGCATATATGGACCCCATGAAGCAAAATGGCGGCCCTCTCACCCCCGGGACCAGCCCTACCCAGCTCGCTGCCCCTGTGTCGTTCTCCACCTCGACCCCCTCAGACAGCATTGGGGGCCGAGTCATTCCTGATGTCCGTGTCACTCAGCATTTTGCAAAGGAGCCTCAGGACCCCCTCAAACTGCACAGTTCTCCTGCCTCTCCTAGTGCTGCTACCAAGGAGGTGGGCATGCCCTTCTCCCAGGGCCCTGGGGCCCCAGCAACCACAGCTGTGGCTCCCTGTCCCTCTAGCCTGCCACGCGGGTATATGACTCCAACCTCCCCAGCAGGCTCTGAGCGCAGCCCTTCACCATCTTCCATAGGCCACAGCTATGGACAGAGCCCAACCACTGCAAACTATGGGTCCCAGACTGAAGAGCTGCCCCAGGCTCCCAGTGGCCCTGCTGCTGCTGCTGGGCGGGCTCCCAGAGAGAAGCCCCTTGTGAGTGACGGCCAGAGCAGCATTTCCCAGCCCTCCCGGGGATATTCCTACTTTGTGGGCTCTAGCCCACCCCTCTCCCCCACTTCCCCCTCAGAAAGTCCCATTTTCTCCCCGGGCAAGCTGGGCCCAAGGGCCACAGCAGAGTTCTCTACACAGACGCCAAGCCCAACCCCCGCCTTGGACATGCCTCGGAGCCCCAGTGCCTCCACTCCAACACCCATGGTGGCCCAGGGCACACAAACACCGCACCGACCCAGTACGCCTCGCCAGGCCTGGCAGCAGTCTCCTCAGGAGGCTCCCTTTATGGTTATCACACTGTCATCAGACGCCTCCAGCCAGACCAGGATGGTTCACGCCAGTGCCTCCACTTCTCCAGTGTGCTCGCCTACTGGCTCCCAGCCCACTGCCCATACCTATAGTCAGACAATGCCTCCCAGTGTGGCTCAGCCATCCCCAGAACCACCTGGGCCACCCGGCCTCCCACGGGCACCCAGCGCTGGTACAGATGGGCCCTTGGCACTGTATAGCTGGGGTGCCTTGCCTGCTGAGAACATCTCCCTTTGCCGGATCTCGTCTGTCCCTGGGACATCTAGGGTCGAGCCAGGCCCCAGACTCCCTGGCAGTGCAGTGGTAGACCTTCGCACAGCTGTCAAGCCCACACCCATCATCCTGACTGACCAGGGTATGGACCTGACATCTCTTGCCGTGGAAGCGAGGAAGTACGGCCTTACCCTGGATCCGATCGCAGGGCGGCAGTCTACTGCTGTGCAGCCCTTGGTTATCAATCTCAATGCCCAGGAGCAGACCCATGCCTTCCTCGGCACTGCCACCACCATGAGCATCACCATGGCCTCATCTGTGCTTATGGCTCAGCCGAAGCAGCCTGTGGTCTATGGAGACCCTTTCCAGAGTCGACTCGACTTTGGCCAGGGTACAGGTAGCCCTGTGTGCCTGGCCCAGGTGAAGCAGGTAGAGCAGGCTGTTCAGACAGCCCCATATCGAGGTGGGCCCCAGGGAAGACCCAGGGAGGCCAAGTTTGCCAGGTATAACCTGCCCAACCAGGTAGCTCCTCTGGCCAAAAGGGACGTTTTGATCACCCAGATGGGCACTGCCCAGAGTGTTGGCCTCAAGCCAGGCCCAGTGCCAGAGGCTAGTGCTGAGCCCCACAGGGCCACCCCTGCAGAGCTTCGGCCACATGCTGTACCAGGTGCCAGGAAGCCACACACAGTGGTTGTGCAGATGGGCGAGGGCACAGCAGGTACTGTGACCACACTGCTCCCGGAAGAGCCGGCAGGTGCCCTGGACCTCACCGGGATGAGGCCTGAGAGCCAGCTGGCTTGTTGCGACATGGTCTACAAATTCCCCTTCGGCAGGAGCTGCACTGGTACCTTCCATCCTACTCCCAGTGCGTCTGAGAAGAGCATGGCAGATGCTGCTCCTCCGGGCCAAAGCAGCGGCCCTTTCTATGGTCCCCGGGACCCTGAGCCTCCAGAACCCCCCACCTACCGGGCACAGGGCATAGTAGGGCCTGGGCCCCACGAGGAGCAGAGGCCCTACCCACAGGCCCTCCCTGGTAGGCTGTACTCCTCCATGTCTGACACCAATCTGGCTGAGGCTGGCCTCTATCATGCCCATCGACTTGGGCAGCTTTTCCAGGGCCCCAGTCGAGACTCAGCTGTGGACCTCAGCCCCCTGAAGCACTCCTATAGCCTGGGCTTTGCGGATGGACGCTACCTAGGGCAGGGCTTGCAATATGGCTCATTCACAGACCTGCGTCATCCCACAGACCTTTTGACTCACCCACTTCCCATGCGGCGTTACAGCTCAGTGTCGAACATCTACTCAGACCACAGGTATGGCCCACGGGGAGACACAGCTGGCTTCCAGGAGGCCAGCCTAGCCCAGTACAGTGCTACTACAGCCCGTGAGATCAGCCGCATGTGCGCCGCCCTCAACTCCATGGACCAGTATGGCGGGCGGCATGGCAGCGGTGGTGGTGGCCCTGACCTCATGCAATACCAGCCCCAACCTGGGCCTGGGCTCAGTGCTCCACAGGGTCTGGCTCCCCTCAGACCTGACCTTCTAGGGAACCCCACTTTTCCGGAGGGCCACCCAAGTCCTGGGAACCTGGCCCAGTACAGGCCTGCACCTGGCCAGGGAACAGCAATCAGACAGCTGCTGCCATCCACAGCCACTGTGCGTGCAGCTGATGGCATGATCTACTCGACCATCAACACCCCAATTGCTGCAACACTGCCCATCACCACCCAGCCCGCGTCAGTGCTGCGTCCCATGGTGCGAGGCGGCATGTACAGGCCTTACATGTCCGGTGGAGTGACAGCTGTGCCGCTCACCAGCCTAGCACGAATGCCTGTGATTGCCCCCCGGGTACCTCTTGGACCCACAGGGCCATACCGGTATCCTGCACCAAGCAGATTCCCCACAGCTTCCAGTGTCCCACCTGCTGAGGGTCCTGTCTATCTGGGGAAACCTGCTGCTGCCAAGGCCCCGAGGGTTGGGGCCCCACCGAGACCAGAGCTTCCAGCAAGGGCTGCAAGGGAAGAACCACTTTCCACAGCCACCCCTGCTGCCATCAAGGAGGCTGCAGCAGCCCCAGCCCCACTGGCTGCCCAGAAGCTGCCAGTAGATGCTGCTCCTGGGCCTGGCAGTGGGGCCCTGAGCCGGCCAGGGCACGAGAAGGAGGAAGTGTCACAGGAGGAAAGGCAGCGGAAGCAGCAGGAGCAGATGCTACAACTGGAGCGGGAGCGGGTAGAGTTGGAGAAGCTCCGGCAGCTGCGGTTGCAGGAGGAGCTGGAGCGGGATCGTGTGGAACTGCAGAGGCACAGGGAGGAAGAGCAGCTGCTAGTGCAGCGGGAGCTGCAGGAACTACAGACCATCAAACACCATGTGCTGCAGCAGCAGCAGGAGGAACGACAGGCTCAGTTTGCACTGCAGCGGGAACAGCTAGCCCAGCAGCGCCTGCAGCTGGAGCAGATCCAGCAGTTGCAGCAACAGCTGCAGCAGCAGCTAGAGGAGCAGAAGCAGCGGCAGAAGGCCCCCTTCCCTGCAGCCTGTGAGGTGCCTGGGCGAGGGGCTCCCCCAGCTGCCACTGAACTAGCCCAGAATGGCCAGTACTGGCCACCCCTGACCCACCCAGCTTTCATTGCTGTGGCAGGGCCAGAGGGGCCTGGGCAGCCTCGTGAGCCCTTGCCACACCGGGCTCTCCCTAGCTCCGCCTCAGACATGTCACTGCAGACTGAGGACCAGTGGGAGGCAAGCCGCAGTGGCATCAAGAAGCGACACTCCATGCCACGCCTGCGAGATGCCTGCGAGCCTGAGTCGGCACCTGAGCCTTGCATGGTCAAGAGGATTGCAGACAGCAGCGTGCAGACAGATGATGAGGATGGGGAGGGTCGCTACCTCCTGACTCGGAGGCGCCGGACACGGCGGAGTGCTGACTGCAGTGTGCAGACAGATGACGAGGACAACGCCGAGTGGGAGCAGCCAGTGCGCCGTCGCCGGTCCCGTCTTTCCCGCCACTCAGACTCAGGCTCCGACAACAAGCACGATACCACTGCCTCTTCATCCACTGCTGCTGCTGCTGCTGCTGCTGCGAGAGCTACGAGCAGTGTGGGCATCCAGACTATCAGTGACTGCTCTGTGCAGACGGAACCTGACCAGCTGCCTAGGGTCTCTCCAGCCATCCACATCACAGCTGCCACTGACCCCAAGGTGGAGATCATCAGGTACATATCAGCACCAGAGAAGACTGGCCATGGGGAGAGCCTGGCCTGCCAGACGGAGCCAGATGTGCAGGCTCAGGGTGTGGCTGGACCACAGCTTGTAGGGCCAAGCGCCATCAGCCCTTACCTTCCTGGCATCCAGATTGTCACCCCAGGGCCCCTGGGCAGATTTGAGAAAAAGAAGCCGGATCCCCTGGAGATTGGGTACCAGGCTCACCTGCCCCCTGAATCCCTCTCACAGCTTGTGAGCCGCCAACCTCCTAAGTCCCCCCAGGTCCTCTACTCGCCAGTCTCACCCCTGTCCCCGCACCGGCTCCTGGACACCTCCTTTGCCTCAAGTGAGAGGCTGAACAAGGCTCACGTGAGTCCCCAGAAGCACTTCACAGTTGACAGCGCTCTCCGCCAGCAGACCCTGCCTCGCCCCATGAAGAGCCTGCAGCGGTCCTTGTCTGACCCTAAGCCCCTCAGCCCCACCGCCGAGGAGTCTGCCAAAGAGAGGTTCTCCCTCTACCAGCACCAGGGGGGGCTGGGTAGCCAGGTATGGGCACAGGGGCTGGTCCAGGGTGGGACAGGGGTCAATATCTAGCCTGGGAAGCCCCTGAAAGAAGGGCTTCTCTTAGGGTGGGGGTGGAGTCACCTCAGCTCCAGAGGCCCAGGGGAGGGAGGCAAGGAATGACCCTTCTCCATGCATATCAGGTGGAGTCCACAGCCCAGCAAGGACAACCTGGGCATATACAGGTACACATAGAGGCCCCATGTAGACACCCCACTGGAAACCTCACCCTCTCCCTAGCACTGCCCTTTTACCACTCGTATCTAGCACAGACGTCCCATGGTTGACCGTGCTGGCCACCTCCCCCTTCAGGCCTCCTCAGCTCTCGCCTCCAGGCTGGGCCCGTCCGACTCCAAACCTTGTCTGTGGATGTCTCCTGGGAAAATCAGTAACATAGATGTGATTGTGATTCTCCCTACTTCCCAGCCCTAGCCTGGCTTCCATTGCCTCACAAAGAAGCCCAAACCCATAGGCCTAGTATACTGCAAGCTAGCTGGCTGCAGCCTGTTCTCTGCCTCATCTTGTTCCCTACTCCTACCTGGCCCTCAGTAAGTCTGTTCACATACCTGTCTGCTCCCAAAGACAGGGCCCCTGGAGCATAAACATGTCTGTATCTGTGCCCTTAGTTGCCAACAATATCCTAGGACTTTATAAGGGTGCCTGGCTGGGGCTGCAGTGGGAGTGAGGGTAGGGAGTTTTGAGGGCCTGACACCAAGGACTTTGAGTGTCAGGCTGAGGAGGGTGGACCTTTCTTGAAGGCCCAGTGAGTTTTAGGCAGGTGAGATAGGACAAGGTGGGTATTTTAGAAAACCTGGGCAGAATGGAGGTTGGCGGGCTGAAGGAAGCCATCATAACAGTGACCTGGGGAGAGGAGGTAGGAGCCAAGACATTATGAGGAATCCTTGCCCATTTTCTGGGTGTGGTGCAGAGAGGAGACAGATTGGGCCTCAGGGTGGGGTTGCAAAGTGATGAAGGGGTGGTGAAGGGCCCCTAGTGTGTGCAGGCCAGATGGGGCTGGGAATGGACAGGAGTCTAGTCTTGCAGGGAGGCAGGTCAAAGAGACAGGGTGGTTTTCGTTCCAGGCTAGGCTGGGACAGAGGTCCCGTGAGCTGGCCATGCTGTGGCTCAGGGGTTTTTGGCTGAAATAAGATGAACAACAGGGTGAGAAGTTCAAGCTAGATTTATTCCCTTAAAGGCCCACCCGCCATTCTGAGACTGAGGCCACATTATCTTTCTCTTTTGTAACGTATGAACGCTCTGGTGGCATAGTGCCTAAGGCATTTGACTGCTAACCAGAAGGCTGGCAGTTCAAACCCACCAGCCACTCCTCGGAAGGAAGATTGGGCAATCTACTTCCGTAGTGATACCGCCTCAGAAACCCAAGGAGGAGTGAATCAGATGGGAGGTTTTTATGTAGTTACTTGGCAAGTCAAAAAGTTGGAAGCCCGATGTTAGTTCCCAGAGTCTTTTGGGAATCTGGGTGGTCCATAAATCCCAATAGCCTGGGGACATTTTGGGAAAGCTAGGAGCAAGAGGCAAAGGGGGGCCCCAGGGTGTACCTTCAGGTGATGTGGAACTTCTATGCTGTGTAAAGAGGGCCCCACAGATGGCAGTGTTGAGCAGGAAGTGCCTTGAGCAGGAAGTTTTGCAGAGGGACCTAGGGTTAGAGAGAACCTAAGTGTCCCCCCCTGCAGTATCCTAGTGGGCTGAAAGAGGAATAGAGAGAGAGGTGGGACCTGAGCCAAGAGCACAGACCAGAGGGTGGTGCCGGATAAGGTGCGCGGGTAGTCCGGAGAGCAGTACTCAATTTAGGGAGTAATACAGGAGGCAGAAGAAGACTCTGCAGCAACTGATATACACTCAGCATATGACCCTTCCCATGATCCTCTAGGGAGCCTGATGGGCCCAGGGCCCACTCCACTCCTCCTGTCCATGGCCCTCCTCACCCTTGGTCCCCATCAGCTACCAGGGCCCAAACCCAGAGCTAGACCTGTACTCTCCTCACCTGAAGGGGAGGAATATATCCCTCAGTGGGATATATTCAAGGGTTCTCAGAGCCATGTGTAGAACCTCACTGTATGCCTGGCCAGTACTGGTCCAGTACAGAAGGGAATCTAACCCTGTTCCTATCTTCCCACTGCCCGGCGTTCTGGGAAATTATCGCAGGCCTTCCCTCCATGGCAAAGAAACCAAGACTAGTGGGTGGGTAGGGCAACATGCAGGCTGTCTGGCGAATTAGGGCACCTATACTGTGGGGCCTGGCCCCTGCCCCAGTGCAGGCCTGGGCTTTTTTCCTCCCCGCAACCTACCAAGCCGCCGTCACCTTGCGTCTCAGTGCTGCCCGCCCTTCCCTCTGTCTCAGGTGTCGGTGCTGCCACCCAACGGCCTGGTCCGCAAGGTGAAGCGGACACTGCCCAGCCCCCCTCCAGAGGAGGCTCACCTGCCCCTGGCCAGCCAGCCCCCCCCACAGCTGTATGCAGCCAGCCTGTTGCAGCGTGGGCTGGCAGGGCCCACCACCGTCCCAGCCACTAAGGCTAGCCTGCTCCGGGAGCTGGACCGGGACCTGCGGCTGGTGGAGCACGAGTCCACCAAGCTGCGCAAGAAGCAGGCAGAGCTGGACGAGGAAGAGAAGGAGATCGACGCCAAGCTCAAGTACCTGGAGCTGGGCATCACACAGCGCAAAGAGTCTCTGGCCAAAGACCGGGGTGGCCGTGACTACCCACCCTTGCGTGGCCTCGGTGAGCATCGTGACTATCTGTCAGACAGTGAACTCAACCAGCTGCGGCTCCAGGGCTGCACCACTCTTGCTGGCCAGTACACGGACTTCCCTGCTGCTGCTGCTGCTGTTCCCACCACCCCCTCTGGCCCCACTGCCTTCCAGCAGCCCCGGTTCCCACCTCCGGCACCACAGTTCTCTGCAGGCACCAGTGGGCCAACTCAAAATGGATTCCCAGCCCACCAGGCACCCACTTACCCTGGCCCCAGCACATACCCAGCACCTGCCTATCCTCCTGGCACAAGTTATCCTGCAGATCCTGGGCTGCTAAGCCAGCAGGCTTTCCGTCCCACAGGCCACTACACAGGCCAAACACCTATGCCAACCACACAGAGCACCCATTTCCCAGTCCCAGCTGACAGCCGTGCCCCTCACCAGAAGCCACGCCAGACGTCGCTAGCTGACTTGGAGCAGAAGGTGCCCACCAACTATGAGGTGATTCCAAGCCCTGTTGTGGCCATATCGTCAGCCCCCTCTGACACCAGCTACAGTGGCCCAGCAGTGAGTAGCAGCTTTGAGCAGGGCAAGGCCCCTGAGCTGCCCCGGGCCAGTGAGCGTAGCAGTGTGAGCCAGAGTCCGGCCCCTGCCTACCCCTCTGACCCACACTATACCAGCCTGGAGCAGAACGTCCCTCGGAACTATGTGATGATTGAGGACATCAGTGAGCTGACCAAGGACAGCACCTCCACTGGCCCTGATAACCACCGTCTGGAGCCCCTGGGGCCGGGCAGCAGTGGACGTCCAGGGAAGGAACCCGGAGAATCAGGTGTCCTCGAGGCCCCTGCATTGTCCTGCTGCTATGGCAGAGGGGAGGAGGAATCTGAGGAGGACACATATGACCCCCGTGGGAAGGGTGGCCATCACCGCAGCATGGAGAGCAACGGCCGGCCGGCCAGCACCCACTACTACAGTGACAGTGACTACAGACATGGGGCTCGAGCAGAGAAATATGGTCCCGGCCCCATGGGGCCCAAGCATCCCTCTAAGAGCCTAGCCCCAGCTGCCGTCTCCTCCAAGCGCAGCAAGCACCGGAAGCAGGGCATGGAGCAAAAGATCTCCAAGTTCTCGCCTATTGAAGAGGCCAAGGATGTGGAGTCAGACCTGGCCTCCTACCCTCCGCCTGCAGTCAGCAGCAGCCTGGGCTCTCGGGGCAGGAAGTTCCAGGATGAAATCACCTATGGGCTCAAGAAGAACGTATATGAGCAGCAGAGGTACTATGGGGTATCTAGCCGGGACTCAGCAGAGGACGATGACCGTGTATATGGCGGGAGCAGCCGGTCCCGGGCAGCTTCTGCATACAGTGGGGAAAAACTGTCTGGTCATGACTTCAGTGGCCGGGGCAAGGGATATGAGCGGGACCGAGAGGCTGTGGAGCGGCTTCAAAAGACAGGCCCCAAGCCCTCCTCCCTGAGCATGGCCCATGGCCGGGCACGGCCCCCCATGCGGAGCCAAGCTTCTGAGGAGGAGAGCCCTGTCAGCCCCTTAGGGCGACCCCACCCTGCCGGGGGGACTCTCCCTCCTGGGGACACTTGCCCCCCATTCTGCTCCAGCCACTCCATGCCCGATGTCCAAGAGCATGTCAAGGATGGACCGCGGGCCCACACATACAAGCGTGAGGAGGGCTACATCCTGGATGACTCCCACTGCGTGGTTTCTGACAGTGAAGGTAATGGCAGCTGGGGGTGACTTCTGCGGATGCTCAGCACCTGGGAAGCCTTCCTGCTTGTGGGGCCCTGGGCCCTGAAATGTCCCAGCAGGGCCTGGCCTGGAGCCTCACCCAGTGGGCCCTGCTGCAGGCTGCCCTCCTTGCCTTCCCCACCTGTGCCCCTGGCCCTTGATTGTGGGAGGGTGGGCTTGGGGTCCCACTGCTCTGTGTGTGGCTATGGTGCCCACTCTCTGGTTTCCCTGCATGGCTTCAGCTGGGCCTCCCTTCTGCAGGCAGCCCCAGGGGTTGATAGTGTTCTATTTTTGGTCTCTGAAGCATATCACCTGGGCCAGGAGGAGACAGACTGGTTTGATAAACCCCGGGATGCCCGCTCTGACCGGTTCAGGCACCACGGGGGCCACGCAGTCTCCTCCTCCTCCTCCTCCTCCTCCTCCCAGAAGCGAGGCCCTGCCAGGCACAGCTACCATGACTACGACGAGCCCCCTGAGGAGGGCTTGTGGCAGCACGATGAGGGCGGGCCAGGCCGCCACACCTCCGCCAAGGAACACCGACACCACAGCGACCACGGGCGGCACTCAGGCCGCCACACCGGCGAGGAGCCAGGCAGGCGTGCTGCTAAACCACATGTTCGGGACCCAGGTCGCCATGAGGCCCGGCCCCACCCTCAGCCTGGCCCTGCCTCGGCTATGCAGAAGAAGGGGCAGCCTGGGTACCCCAGCTCTGCTGAATACTCACAGCCATCTCGTGCTCAGTCGGCATACCATCATGCCTCCGATAGCAAGAAGGGCTCCCGACAGGCCCACTCTGGGCCCCCCACTGCACTGCAGCCAAAGCCAGAACCCCAGCCACAGCCACAAGGTTGGCAGGCACCTCCAGGGTCACAGCAGTCACAGCCGCCACTATCTAGGCAGGGGCCCTCAGCAACAACATCACGCCAGCCACAGACACAGCAGCATCAGCCCTCTCAACAGGCCCCGTCACAGGCTCGGCTGCAGCAGCAGGGTCAGCCAGCCACCCGGGGCCTGGCCCCTGCTGCCAGCCAGCCAGCAGGGAAACCTCAGCCAGGGCCCACGACAGCAGCCACAGGTCCCCAGCCAGCAGGACTGGTAAGTAGGGCCCTGGTGCACGGGATGTGGGAAGGGGTCTGAAGCTTGGCGTCTACCCAGGGCAAGTGCTAGGCCTGTAGCGTGGACATTCCCTTGGCTCTCAACTGGGTGTGCACAGGGTCAACAGGTGGCATCTCAGCTGTGGATTCTGTGTTCCAGCCCCGGGCAGAACAGACCAGTGCCTCCAAGGGGACAGCCAAAACACCCCAGCAGGGGAAGCCTCCTCAGGCCCAGCCACCTCCAGGACCTGGACCTGCAGGTGAGCCCACCCCCTGATGCCCTTCACTATGGCCCAAAACACCTAGGCTGCCCTCTCAATGCTCCCTGAGCTCCCCCCCACCCCACTGTATGCCTTCATTTTCCTTGAAAAGGTGCCCAGTGGGCTGCAGACCTCCCCAGCAGAAAATAGGCTTGGGGTTAAAATTCTAGAGCTGTAGTCAATGGGGTCACCAGCTCTGGGGACTTAGAGCCCAGGCAGCTCTAGGTAGAGACCTGGTGAGCCCAGTGCCAGGATGAAGGCTTCGTCTCTCTTCCTTCCCCTTCCCTCCTCTTGTCTGCCTTCTCATCCTTTGCCTCTTCTTTCCTTCCTCTTTCTTCTTCTTCCTCATCCTCCTCTTTTTTCTGCTTCCTCCCACCCCTCTCTTCCTGTTCTTATCTTCCTGTCTTTGTCCATCCTCCTTCTCACTCGCCCACCTCACTCGGTACACGGGTTCAGATTCCCTCCAGATCCTGTGTGGCTCCTGAAGGTAGTTTCTTTTCCCCTAGGCGTGAAGGCTGGAGCCAGGCCTGGTGGGACTCCGGGGGCTCCTGCTGGCCAGCCAGGTGCTGAAGGGGAGAGCGTGTTCTCCAAGATCCTCCCTGGTGGGGCAGCAGAGCAAGCTGGCAAGCTGACAGAAGGTATTTGCTGCCAACAGCCAGGTTCACGAGGGTGGAGATTGGGTCTGGGGGATGATTCCAGGTTCAAACACTGGGCCACAGGCCAGCCGAGGGTCCACCTGCTGCTGCCCCTGGGCCTCAAGCAGGCCCTGCCCCTTGGCTGGGCTTGGCTCTGCTATCCCCAGAGATGGCCCTGACTGAGAGGGGGCCTGGCCTGGTTTCCTGATGCCTCTCTTCTCTTTCCATGTCACAGCTGTCTCTGCTTTCGGCAAAAAATTTTCCTCATTCTGGTGACCGTGCCCAGCAGGGTGAGTGTGAGTGGCCTGTCCTGGCCTCCCCTGGGAAAGGCCTGAGGTGCTGGTGTGGAGGCCGTAAGTCCCAAGGGTTCCTCTGAGAGGAGTCTGGTGCTCAGCCAGTAACTAGGCCAGAGATGTCATGTCCTTACCTTCAAGAGTGAGAAGAGGGAGGCTGAAGAGAAAGAGGGACACTGAACAGAGCCCCCAAATGAAGGCCAGCTCAGTAGCAGTCCCCAGCAAAGGATAGCCAGGGCCAACATGCCCTTGCCCTTCTCCACCATCTCCATAAAGCCACCTGCCACCCCTGCAGGGCTCTCAGAGCCCCAGTCTGGCATTAGGTTGTCTTAGGGCCCTCTGGGATGGAGTTCCTCCCCAGCGCTCCTCTGTAAATGTTCCACAGGCTCTTCAGGAGATAAGGGGAGATGATATTATTGCTGTGGAAAAATCTCTGGAGTTTGAGGCCTGGGCACAGCTCTGGACTCTGCGTATAACAGTGAGTGTCAGGACCAAGGTGTTATAAAGCAGGGATGGGTGGGGCTGGGGACTGGAGGTGGGGAGGGAAGTAAAGGACTGAGGCCTGGCTGACCAGACTGACCGGGTCCTGCAATTGTGAACTGGGAGGGGCCTGGTGGGTTCTTTCACCTGTGATAAGCCGAGCAGCTTCCTGGGAGGCAGGGGCCACTGAGGCTGGGATGGTGGCAGATGACTCAGGCTGTACCCCTTGGGGGAGGATGCAGTGAGTGAGTGTATCTCACAAGTCAAGGTCTGTGTGCAGGGTCCTTCCAAAGCCATCTTGGAGTAGAGGATAGCTCGCAAAGTGGGGAGCATCCCTCTTCCCTGATGCCCTTGCTCCAGCCAGTCAAGAGAACTCTGCAGAGCTTAGCAGACCTAAGGGAAAGAGTAGAAAGGCCTTGGGATGGGAGCCCTAGCTCTGTCTGGGCTGCAGTAGCCAAGGAAGCATGGGAAGCCACCTCTTGGAGCCTTCCCTGAACTGGCCCAGCATCCAGAATGGCGAGGAGAAAGACCTTGCTCTCAGTGCTCTGTATGTACATGGCCACAGACAACCTCCCACCATTCCATAGCCCTGGGGCCTTCCTCCTCCACCTTCTTTGCCATTTCTAAGGCAATTATAATGGGCAGATATGTGTATACGGCATCGCAGTCAGCAGGTCACTTCGAGGAAGTCTTGGGACCAGCAGGCATCCTTGCCCAGGCCAAGCCTGCATGTGGCAGTGACAGAGCTGGGTATGGTGCCTCAAGGGCAGCCTGCCTCTGGAGGAGCAGTGCTGGGACCAGAAGGCTCAGTCTTCCCTCCATCCACTCATTCATTCAACCAATGTTGTCAAATCCCAGGTGTGTACTGGGCCCTACCCCAGGTGCTGGGGATATAGCAGGGAATAAAATCAAGTCCCTGTCCTCCAAAGCTGACAGTCCAGTAAGGGAGATAGAGAATAAATAAATATTAAATAAAAAAGATAATTTCTGAAGGTAAAAAGTCTATGAAGCCGGTGAAGCAGGGTCATGGGGTGGCAGGATCTGCTCTAGAGAACGTAGTCAGAGCTGAATGGGTAATGGGTGGGGTAAGGCCTGACAGAGGAGAGGCTGCTGTGGGGTGTGTTCAGGTAAGGATTCTGAGATTCTAAGGCCAGGATGAGACTGGTGGCCTGCACAATTAGAGCTACAGTGGAGGGTGGTCAGAGGTGAAGTCGAGGGTCAGGAACCAGCTGGGGTGGTCATTGCAGGAAAAATAAAGAGCACGGAATTACTCTTAACTGTAGTCGCATAGTGGCTAAAGCACTTGACTGCTAACCAGAAGGCTGGTGGTTCAAACCCACCAGCCACTCCTCGGAAGGAAGGTTGGGCAATCCTACTTCCGTAGTGATACTGCCTCGGAAACCCAAGGAGGGGTCGCTATGAGTCGGGGCCGACTCAACGGCAAATAACAACAACAACAATAGTCGCCACAGTTCAGCGCCCCCAGCATGCTTCCTGCCTTCACCCTACAGACAGCGGGTTTCCTGCTGTTTTCCTGCAGAGCTGGGTATTTCCTCAGAGTTGCCCTAGAACAGACTCAAGTCAGAAGCGGTACTGAGGGGAGGGGAGGGAAAGAAAGGGCCGCTAGGCCCAGATTCACAGCAGTACCGACCTTTGGTTTGGTGCTAGGGCAGTATCACTGGAGAAGGAAAGAGACCACAGGCATAGCTTTGTTCTGGGTCCCACTACATGACATGTGTGGGCCACTGAGACAATTGACTTCCGTAGTTAAAGGAATCTCCCTCAAATTTTGGCATTTGGCTCATGATTTGGCCAAGAGGTCAGCGCTGCTTTAAGTGTCATCTCCTGATTTCTTTTGTGGCTCTTCCAGAGGTGGGCTGGGAGCAGCTTGGGCAGGGAGAGGCTTGTCATTTGAACAAAATCCCACATTCCTCATCCTTAAGCAAACAAAAGACAACTTTGTTACTTTAAAAGAGATGCCCTGTCCTAACCAATCCAAGTCTTTTTCTTAGCTTCTCTCTGTGACCTGAAACCTGCCCAAGCAGCACCTCCCTAGCCTCTGTGGTCTGGGAGGCGGTGGTGAAGAGGAGTTAGGCTGTCAGGCAGATTGGGCTGAGAGGCGTGTGAGGGTGGAAAGCAGCTATCCACAGTTCTTGACAAAATCCTTTTTTCTTTCCTTCCTTCCTCTATCCCTCCCTCTCTCTTCCTTTACAAGCATCTACAATCTGGCAAACCCTGGCCCCAAGACTCACACCGGATGGGACATGGCAGACAGGCTCTCGGGATGCTTTCTAACAGCAGCTGCCTGTGGGAAGCATCTGCTGGACAAGTGAGACCAATGGCATAGGGGGCTTTGATTGTCTTTCCAGAGACCCTGCTCTCCTCAGGGCCCTCTCCGGAAACCTTGCCACCACCTGGCTGTCTGGCCACTCTTCCCACAGCCTCCTTTCTTCGGCCTGGCTTCCAGTGCGTTATACACAGAGTTTGGGCACATCCTGCTCGTTTTTGACGGACATTGCCCTCCCTCCGTGATGCCAGAAGTTTTTCCACAGCCTTGGAGAGGGGCTTTGACTGAGGGCTGGGGTCCCTGGGCTCCGTTTCCTTCACATTCCAGCTGGCCCAGATCCCTCTGTGACCACAGGGCCCTGCCCCCCTCCCCCTACCCTCTGGGTGACTGTGGAGCAGAACTTTTCGTGGCCAGTGTGGGGTTGGGAGAACTTTACATTAGGACCTAACACTGTCTTGTCACTGAAATAAGAGGCCATAGCACCGAAAAGCAGCATGGGCGCCGGCTGAGGCTTCTCCCAGCCCATGAGTGGCAGCGTGCCAGCACGCCCGCCACCATCTCAAAGCCATCCCCCCAGCCATTGTGAGCATCCCAGTGGCACCGCCATTGTCTCGACCAGCCGGCTCTTCGTCCGTACACCTGGGGATTTCTTTTGATTTCAAAAACAGCCTTAATCATTCCAGTTTGATTTACGTGTATACCTCATAAACATTCTTCTTTTGTTTCTCTTTTTCCCCCTTTCTTATCTCTCTCTGCTTGCCCCCTTGCCTCTCCCTTCCACCTTCACCTTGTGACTGACGGTTTGGTTTCCTCTCTGCTCTGCCCCTGCTAAGCACAGGGAGATATTGACTCAGAAGCAATAGTGGGCAGCAGGCCACCAAGAGCACAACCCCTGGGCAAGGTCTAGGGAGGCCCCTCAGCCCGCCTGTTTACTGTGCAATTCCAGTCCTTCTTAAGCCATCATCAGTGGGCATGCTCAGAGCAGAGGGGCCAGGGCTTCTGCCAGCCAAGGAAAGGGCCCAGAGCCCTGCGTGGGGAACCATGGCCCTGTCCATCCACCTGGTGGGCTGGACACATTCCTCCCCAGGGCCTTTCCCTCAGCGGGGGTATTCCCTTCATCTTGGGCACAGCCACAAGTCTCATCTCTAATGTTCTATGCAATGAAATATAAACCCTCAAAGACAACTGTTAATATTTAATAAATTCCATGTTATGTATAAGGAATTAATTGCAAATGTGCAATTGCGAAACTGGATAGATATGCTCATATCACCCTCCCCATTCCCCACCCCGACTCCCACCGTGTGTGTGAAGTTCTCAGTCTGTGGCATGTTTGACCTGTGGCAGGACTCGCTGCTGCCAGGTGAGTCACCGCCTGTCCCACAGCGCAGCATGCACAGCTCGAAGCCTCTTTGCACGATTTCATCCGTTTTAAATGCTCGACCCTCTTGCTTGGAGTTCTTTTTGCCTCAGAACCTCTCCTTCAGGAGTGCTTCTAGCTGACTTCTGCACGAGCTAGTGAGGACTTGCTGGAATTGCCACCTGAGTGTGCCAAGCTTCGGGCAGGCAGTGCAAGGCCTCACACACCCCTGCAGGGCTCTCTGTCCAAGAAGGGCAGGCAAGAGGGAATCCCTGGAGTAGGCATGCCGGTGGGTGCCCGCACAGGATGCATGCGTGTGAATGTTCTGAAAGTATGCTGTAGGATTTCTACCTGTATCTCATTACTCCTCCTTCCCCAGCCCTGAGCCAGGGCCATCTGGTTGTATCTTCACAGTGAGGCAGAGCTGGGCCACATTGGTGGACAGAGAGGTGGTGGCCACAGGCAAGGCCTGACTGTGCCCTGGGGACCCAGCTCCTGACTGCATCTATTCCATGCCTCTCCCCTGTGATTGGGAGGCTCAAAGGTCTTTGAGCCAAGAGGTCTGGGCTGGGGCCAGGGGCCAGGGGCCAAAAGGTGTTCAGGAAAAGCTGGGCCTTTGGCGTTTGTGTTGTGTTGGCATTTGTGCCCTCTGGGACCACAGCAAGTGTGGCCAATAGCTCCAAGCTGAGTTTGTTGGGAAGCTTTACAATGACAAAATGTACAAAAGGTCCTGTGTGGCCCTTTCTGCATCTGTCTCCAGGACCTATTGTTCCTGCCCACCTTATCTCTGAAGCTCTAGCTCTCCACTGCTTGTTAGCCTCTCTGCCACTGAGCCAGGAGTGCAGCAAGCAGTAGC